TGCTGTCCAGCCCCCCACATCCCCAGCACAAAAACACACTCAGAAAGACAGGAAGTCTGCAGACAGGAGGGAGCACACATCTGCACATGGGTGTGTGTCTGTATGAGGGAGCTGGTGTGTGCCTGTAGGTATCAGGATAGCCTGGTGTGCAACTGTGTGAGTGTGTGTGTGTGTGTGTGAGTGCATGTGTGTGTGTGTGTGTGCGGGCAGCCTACTTGTACACAGCCACAGGCCCACCTCCCACGTATATGCAGACACCAGCCTGAGCTCACACACGCCTTCAACACCCACACTCCCACCCGAGCCCATGGGCCCAGGCCTCACACGCACACACATAAACCTTCCCGTGGGCATGCCCCCCTGTTCCTCACAGACGTGCATGTCCAGACCTCACAGGAACACCAGTGAGCCCAAGTCCCACGTGTGCATCCTTACACAGACATATTTTTACGCACAGCTGATGTGCATACAGCTCTGACCGGCCATACATGTGTACACACAGTGACGCGTGTACACACCTTCATTCCCCTGCAAACCAGCCAACGGACCTGCTTGTGCCACTTGCATCCACCCATCCCTGCAGGGCACACTTGCATTTTTAGGCCTTACACATGAAGCACACACCAGCACCTCCCTTCCGGTGCACACACATGTGAACACATGCACACCTTTTCAGTGCATGCAAGTGTACCCCAGAGTCAGTCCTCACGCAGTAACACACATCAAAGCACACCCCTGTGTGTGCACATCCGGACCTCACAGCAGCACATACCTGCTCACAGGGCCCCTCTCCCCTGCGCTCCTGCTGCTACAGTGGGGACCACCCAGGGCACTGGAGCTGCTCTGCCCACGGGGAAAACTCTGCCTCTAAACTGTACCCCTACCATGGATCATCCCCAGATCCTCCACAGACTTAGCTGGCGGCATCCGGGAATGCTTCCCTGACACTCCACAATCTATCGGGCTACCCCAAAGGGCTCTCCACCCCCCACATCCTCCCACCCTTCTCTCTACACCAGTCATCAGAGGCAGGAAATGAGCTCTGGGGCTGGACAACTTTGCCAAGAGACCAGAGCTGGTGCACCCTCACATCACTAGCCCCTGCAACAGCAGTGTCCCCCGACTGCTCGCCTGATTGCCCCTCCCCTCCTCCCAACACCTAGGAAGCCTCACCAGTGGCTCCGTTATTAACCCCTGCTGTATCGTTGCCCTCACCCCTGGCAGGAGCTGGCAGGGGGGAGGTGGGGAGGGGATGTGCTTACAGGGAGAAGTCGGCCACTCTGCACAGCTGCTGTAGGTGCCTAAAGGCAGGAGGAACTACCTGGAAGATGGTGAGCTCTCTGTCACCAGAAGTAACCAAGTTGAGGGAGATGGCCACCTCAAGAGAAACTCAACAGGGGATTCCAGCCTTAGACTCAGCTGACTGGGAAGATCCCTTTTTAATCCTGTTTCTAAGAATCTGTGTGTGCCCAGATCATGTGCATTTGTGTGTGTATGTGTGTGTGTGTACATGCACAGACACTGCCATGCACTGTCAGCCCTTCACCTCTACGCACACACTCGCCGGGCTGGCCTTGGCTCATCTTGGCAAACATGCCCGCACCTGGCTCTAGGCACTCTGCACGTACAAGTGCCCCCAAACACATGCAGCCTTCCTCCCTGTGTGTGCACTGGAAGCACTGCAGGTGCACACCCCCACCCGTGACACTGACCCCCTGAGCCCTCCAGGACTCTCTGAGGTGCAACTCACTTTCCCAGTTCCTCGAAGAGCTGGTACTCTTCTGTGAAGCGGGTGCAGGTGATGGTGGCCATCCTGGCGCTGGGTGGGCAGGCGAGGCTTGGGGCTGGAGGACCAGGACTGGGGTGCCGCTGCTCTGTTCCTGGAACTAGGGGCCACTCGCCTGCCCGTGCTGCCAAGTGCAAACTGAGAACCGGCTTGACTGACGAGCCTGGGGCTTCTGAGCAGAGCACTGTGGCTGCTCACAGCCTCGCGAGTCTTCGTCAGCATTCAGGTCCCCATGGCAACCACCTCCCAAACGCCCTGTTCCCGTTGCCCCGGTAACTGCCTCCCCAACACCTGCCTGCCTTCCACTTCAAAGCCTGCTCCGGGGCGCCCTGGCCCTACTGCACACAGTACTGCAGGCCTGTGTGGACCCGGGGGTTGGTGGACCCAGCACCCCCGAGGTGATGGACCAAGGGAGGGGTTGGAGGAGGGGAAGGAGAACAAACTTAGTCCACAAGTAATCTTCAATCTTCCCACCTCCCCCACTTCCAACTGTGGGGCCCTTGTAACAGACAAGATGGGATTAAATGGGGCAAAAAGGCAGTTGCCATGGTAACGGCTGGTGGGTGCCACATTCTGGGATGGTCCCCCGGAAAGACAGGATGCAGTTACCCTGGCAACTTCATCTCCTCTGGAGAGACAGGTATTGCCCCGTTGCCCTGGCAACAGCCAGGTTCTAAGGTTTACAGGGAAACCATGGCTAATTCATTGGGATCTCTCTCTCTCAGCGGATCACCATAGCCTCTATAACTATCTCTCTGCTCCCCTCTAATTTTTTTTATTTTTGCCTCTTCCTCTGTCTTTTTTATTCTGCGCTCTCTTTCTCTTTCTCTCTCTGTTCTTTGCCACCTTGCCCATCACACTGGGACTCTAGCTAGGGGGAAGTGCAGAGAAGCTATCAGGATTCTGGAGGGAATATCCCTGGCTGCCTGCTCACCCCAACCCCTCTCAGCCATGACAACTGGTCCCCTCCTGAGGTCTCTTCCATAACCACTCCGTTACCCCAGGCCGCCAGAAGGGCCATGGAGATCTGGTCTCCTGGGGCTCATGTCCCAGTTTCTGCTTGTGCTTCAAGTCAAGGTGAAAGAGGTGGAGGCGGCAGTGGGGAGGGGAGCATGGCCTGGCTTGGAGGGGAGTGTCCGTGGACCTGCCCTAAAATCCTCATTCCCAAATTCTGTGGGCACTTTCCTGGCCAACTTCAACTCTTCAGGGCAATAACCATATCTATGGCCCCAAGATCTCACCCCAAGGCCCAGGGGGTTAAGAAGGAAAAGGACTGGCGTTTAAAGATCTGAATTCAATTCCAGTCCTGACATATATTAACTGTGTGACGCTGAGAAAGTCACAGCCCCTCTCTGAGCCTCTAGCTCCTTTTCTACAAAACAGAACAAAGTTGCCACTGCAGAGGAAGGCTGTGAAGATAGAGCAGGCTGAGGGCTGTAGAGGCCTTTGGGGAGTATGTAACTATGAGGCCTCTTTTTAGTTTCTAGAAGAGGAGAAGGAAGGTCTAAAGTGAGACCATGACCACCCCCATCGCTCTAGCTTGAACTCAGAATCTCAGACCCTCACACCCACCTCCTCCATTCAAGCTCACTTCACAGCCCACCAGGCTGAGGTCTCATGCCAGCACTTGCCCACAATGAGCACAGGATAAAAGGATCCAGGATCCAAACCCTCTGGGTTTCTAACCCACCCATTCTGAACCTCCAAATTGCCTTACTGGTCACCTCACTTGCTGGACACATTGTCTGCTTGTTGGTCATCCCCAACCCCAGCAGATCCCTGACTCACTACCCTAGGTCCAGGAGCCCCTGGAGAAATCTGGGTACACCCCCCCACAGTTCTGCCCCTCTTCCTGAGAGCTGGGAGTGGGAGAGAATGATGGAGTTGACTCTGATGCAGCCACTTCTTCCCAGGAGAGAAAGAGGAGGGAGGCAGAGGGGAAGGAGGGGGGGAGAGCCAGGGGGGAGGGAGTAATGGCTGAGCCACTAATTGCACCATTACCACCTTCAGAAAAAGGAAAAAAGCACTCCGTTTTGTTTCTGCGCACAATATGCTTCCTGCTTCTGCCGCCAACGTTGCAATTCAGAGGCAGAAAAGAGAGGCCTTTGCTCGGGGGACTGCACAGCCGGTGGGCAGCGGGCGGCGCACAGAATACCGCTAGAGGCCAGAGGCGAATGCGTGCCACTGGAGGAAGGGCTGCACCGCCACCTCCGTGTCCCAGACCCTCTAGCCTGTCCCCAGGAGGGGATGGCTACCACACATGAAAGCACTGGAACAGTTCTCAGTCACCACTGAGGGCACTTGCATCATTGCCCAGAGGAGAGGAGAGGCAGCGTTGTGCAGTGGTTAGAGTGACTCCATGACCTATAGGCTGTGTGATTTGGGATGGGTATCCTAGCTTCCCTGTGTCTCAATTTCTTAATCTGCAAAATAGAGTAAAACATTCCCTAGCTCCAGGGCTGTTCTCAGGATTAAATGAGGTGAGCACAGTGTCTGACACACTGTAAATGCTCAATAGATGGGAAATTATTCTTATAAAGGGACTCAAAAGTCCCTCCGTCTTCACACTGCTCTCTCTGAATCATGGAAGTACACATCACTATCTTCAAGTCCAAGCACTTTGGGTACCACTCTCTGAGTCCCCACTGGAGTCGAGCTCATGGTTTGAACGTCACCTTGCCCTGGCCTGGTTTGCAGAATTCCCATAGAGCAAAGAACTGGGGCTAGAAGGCAGGGGTCACAAGGCCTCCAGCTTGTCAGGTGTCAACCTAATGGTGCTTTAGAAATTAACAAATAAGACAAAAGGCAACTGTGCCCTGAGGCTGTATTAATGGGAATCTAATGTTCTGAATAAAGGAGGTGGTAGTCCTGCTTGGCTTGGAGCTGGCCTGATCGTCTCCCCTCTCCTCACCCCTCCTTTCCTTCCCTTGAGCTCTTCCTTCTCAGGTGTCCCTATCCTTCCGATTCCTTTTCATTCCCTTTCTTGTTTCTATCTCCCTTCCTCTCTTTCTCTCAGTCTCAGTCATCCTTTTCTCCCTTCCGGTGCTGGCCTGGATCCTGTGCGCACGGTCCTGGGGGGATGGGCAGGACCCAGGCTGTAGGATCCTGATGGTGCCGAGGTGCCTGGAGAGGACGGAGAGGGAGGAAGAGAAGGGAAAAGAAGAAAAGGTCTCCTTGGCAACTCCACACGCACACACACACACACACACACACACACGCACGCACGCACGCACACACCACTCCGAACCTTCGAGAGCCTAGCACAGGGGTGTGGGCACTGCCTCAGACAGGCACCCCCAACCTGACTGTAACGGTTGCCCTGCCAAGGAGGCACAACCGCTAATTTACTGCCTCCCCTGAGCCCGAGAAGCTAGCAGCTGTGCCCGGTGGCAGCGGGCAGCAAGGAGCCAGCCCTGCCTCGGTGGCGCTGAGAGCACGAGCTGCTGATTGCAGCAGGGGGACTGTTTCTGCCAGATTCCCCACTTCCCGGGGATGTGGCAGCAGGAGAGCCAGCACGTGTGCCCCCAGCTGCAACTTGCGTGCCGTACTCAAGACCACTCGCTGGTGGCCAGGGGCGGGAGCCCTGGAGGGCACTGAGCTGGGCTCTGACATGCTGGGACAGGGAACCGGAACACAGGCTGGACCCCATGGAGCTGGAGAGGGACAAACGGGGACCATCAGGGCCAAGTTCCTGGGCCACAGCAGGGAGTGACACCCGACTCAAGTCCCACCTTGCACAGCCTCCACGTGTGCTCACACACACGCGCCCGAGTGCCTCAGGGTCCTGCGGGGTCTGGGTAGGCACCACAGAAAACGTGCCATCTGCGCGGTCCCCATGAGGCCTGTCCCATTAAGGGCAGTGAGCAGGGGGCAGAGTCGGTGGAAAGTGGGCCAAGAGAGAAATGACTCTGTGGAGGGTCCAGGTGGAGAGGGAGTTGGTTCATTACTTGCAGTAAAGTCATGCCAGCCTCGCACTCAGGAGAGGAGCCAGGGGTCAGGGAGCAGCTCAGTCCCCCGAGGCGTCCCACATACGTGGCACTCCTTGCAGGGGAGAGGGACACAGGGAGCCAAGGGACAGAGAACCACAGCTACTGGGCCCATGTCTGCACGGCACAACCTGCAGCTCAAGGACCCAAGTTCAAGTTCTGCCATTGGCTGTCAGTGTGTATGGCAGGTCTTTTTCCCAGTGGGGCCTCCATTCCTTCCTGAGAAATGTAAAGACAAGATGTTCCTTCACTGACTCCAAGGACATGAAAAATAGTTCTTTCCACTTTAGAGCCAAGCCCTGTGCTAAGCTCTTTACATATTGCACTATTTATACCTCATAACAAATGTCCGTGAGAGAGGTACAATCATCACCCGTTTTGCAGAGATGTAGCAGGACTTAACCAATATAAGGTTTGTGTTCCTTGGACTCCACTAACGCTGGAAGGGCCCTGAGGCGGCCCAGGCCCCTTACAGACAGGGACTGAGGCCCAGAGAGAGGAAGCTGCCCTCCTGCAGTCGCACAAGTCCGGGGCAGTCAGGACCACAAGCCAGAATGCCTGACTCCCCCAGCAGCGCTCCTTCCCTTCCCCTCCCTGCCCTGCTCTTTCCTGCACTCAGGGCTACTTGCCTAGGTCCCAAGGTACCCAAAGGCACCAACCAAGAAGAGAAAATAGTGCCAAGGCCCAGGGTGGGGTCCAGAGCCCTGCTCCTCCAGCCGGGTTAGGGCTTTCTCCTGGCTCCTAGGGGACTGGTCATCCCTGCCCAGGGCTCCAAAGACAGGGCCCAACTCCGACAGGGCCGCGCCTGGCTCTAACCTATCTGGCTGGCAGATCTGCTGTCATCTGGTCCAGCCAAGGGGGAAGAGGGGGCCTGTCTGGCATGTCCAGGCTCCACTCCCCTAAGGGGCCAGAGCTGCCTCTGGCCTGCCCTTCCTTCTATCCCTCCTCACCATAGGTGGTGCAAGCATCTGCCTGGAGATGCCATTCAAGGGCCTGACACAGAGTCCAGACCCAGGTGCCCTGGCTGGGGGGAAGGTAGGAGCCAGAGGGGGTGGGAAGAAGGGGGTCGGGGGCCATGCTGATTGCTGGGCAGAGCAGAAACCACAGCAAGCAGGCTGAACCTCTCGTCACAATGCCCTAAGCCCTGAGTTGCCCCTCATCCTGAGCAACGAATCCCAGGCCCCAGCCAGCTGCCGGTGCCCCAGTTAGGCAGGCTTGGGGACTGCTGGGCTGTGGACGGGGTTACAGACTGAAGCTTGAGTGGGGCTCCTGGGCTGTTAGCTGGGTTCTGGGTTAGGCAGGACTCAGGCAGATGAGCTCTAGGCTGGGTTTAAGATAAGATCAAGCCTCCTTCTCAGGGCACGGGGAGCAGGCACCAGCCCCTAGCCCCCAGCCCCAGCTGGACTCTCCATGTTTGGGGCCAGATTGGCCACAGGGGGTAGGCCTTGGTGCCTAGGGAGGAGTGGAAATTGGCCTTCTATGGCCCTGCACTTGTGGCCCCAAAAGGCAGAGACCCAGGAAGAGAAGCAGGGCTGGAGCTGGAGGCTGGGCCACCTTGGGCAGGGCCAACTCAGCACACACAGGAGAGGCCTCCACTCAACTGGTGTAAGCCTGGAGCGGCAGGGGAGCCCTGAATCCATGCCACTCTGGAAGGGGCCAGCCCACGCAGCTGGGACAAGGACCCGGCAGAGCTGGACTATCTTGGGTCGTGGGCAGACCGTGGATAACCCATCCCTGGGGTATGCCAGACCTGGGACTTCAGAGTTTCCCTCCAGAGCAGACAGAAGAACTGGGGGTGGCCAGAACCCAGAGGCCCCAGCTGGTCCTGCCCCTGCCCCATCATGACCCAGGCACCAACATCCTGGGGACAGAGAAGGGCTCCAGCTGGGGGGAGGCCATAAGAGGTAAAGAGAGCAGGGCTGGGAGGAAGGGCCCCAGGAAATGGACGGTCACCTCCACCGCGCAGCCCCAGGCCGGCCCCTCCCTCCTAGGCTCAGCAACCGCTGCAGTAGGGATGCAGCTCTGTAACCAATTCTTGAAGCCCCCTCACTGCACCGCACCCACCCCACCCGTCCCGCTCATCCACACGCTGACGAGTCCTAACAGGCCTCCTTTGCCAGAGACAAAAATAACTATTTTCAAAATTCACAGCAGGGCTTTCGCCTACACACGCTGCACCGACTGGAAGCTGAAGGGAGATATGCAGAACGCAGTGTGCGGATAGAGGCCCGCTACACAGCCAGCGAGCCCCGAGACCCCCATGCCTCTTCTCCCCACCGCCCAGCCCATGTCCCCCAATACTCACACACCTCGGGGCACCCAGAACACCTAGGCGGAGGGCTCTCAGCTCGTCCACTCTACACAGGGACAGTGAGGCCCGGAGCGAGCCTGAGATTTGCCGAGGCCCCACAGTGGCTCTGTGACCAGGTCCCGTATGTTCTGCCCCTGCCCAGGGTGCCCACCTCCTCTCCCTTTCCCTGGACCAACAGTGAGCTCATGCCTGGCCCAGGATGCACGTGCACACACCCACATGAGCTCGCAACCGCACTGCAGCCCTCGCTTCCGTGTTACTGCGCTTTAATCAAGTTCACGGGTTCCTCCACAACCATTACCTCGGCCAGTCCTCTATAGGCCTGTGAGGTAGGCAGAGCCAGGGCTAGCACTCCCATTGCAGGTGGGGAAATCGAGGCCCAGGGGAAAAGGACTGGGCCGAAGGTCAGAGTAGAACCCAGATGTCCTGATTGTTGGTGCACGGCTCTTTTCACAGCTTGATCCTGCAGGAGCTAATAGCCATGCCCAGTCCTCCCCTTCCCTCCCAGGAAGATGAGCTCACCACCACTGCTCCCACCACTAGTCTGTTCCCAGGACTAGCCCAGGCCACATGAAGATCCAGGAAGGTCACCCCCGGGTCCCTTCAGAGAGCGGCCACATCACCACGCCTCGGCTGGGGTCCAGGCCTGGAGCTGCCTCCAGGTGGTCCCTCACCCAAGAACTACCACAGAGGTCCAGGGTTCAAGAGCAAGGCCTTAAGTGAGCTAGGAGGTGACAAAGTTGATGGGAACTCCACCACAGCCCCAGGCACAAGGTCCACACCACAGAGCGACAAAGCTCTTAGAGCTCATTCTCCAGATGAGGAAACTGAGGCCCAGAGAGCTCATGCAGGTCACTCGAGGTCACAGAGCAAGTCAACGGAGAGGTGGGACTGGGACCCAGGGATCTCAGTCTAGTTTATTCTCTCCCGACTCCTAAACCAAGCTCCCCACCCTTCAACTGAGGGGCTCGACGCCCTCCATTTCCCTGCAGATGAGGACTTGACCTGGGGCCCCTCGCTGGTGAGGACCAGGGCCAGGCTTGCGGGGGAAGGACCTCACCTCCCCCCATCAGATCCGGTGGGACATCAGTCTGGTGTTGAGTTTACGGAAAAAGGATCGCAGCTTGCAAATCTTGCATTTTTTCTTACGGTGCCCTCGGGAAAGGCTCCGAGCCCTGCTTTCCTCCTCTCCTTCATCTTCCTCATCACTGGCCCAGGGCCCCCAAGCCCCCCCATTAAAGTCGGGATGGGCTCGGGGATTCTCAGCCGGGTAGCGCACGGGGATGGCTGTGCGGTTATAGTCCGCCAAGCGGGCCAGCAGCGCTCGGACCACATCCGGCCGCTGGCCAGCGAGGTCCTCCCGTTCGTAGGGGTCAGCACTGATGTTGAAGAGCCACACAGCCTGGCGGGCGCTGGCCATCCGCTCCAGGTTCCACCAGCTGCCGGGGAAGGCAGCCAGTGTCTGAGGTGGGATCCAGTCGCCATAGCCCGGGTCTCCCGTCAGCAGCTTCCACTCGCCCACGCGGATGGCGGCCTGCACAGCAGTGTTCCAGATGCCGAAGCCACCCTCCAGGGAGCCATGCCGGGCGTGGTTGTAGAGCGGGTCAATGTTATGCAGGATCTCCGTGCGTGGCGAGGCCCGGCCCTCGCTGATGGCTGGCCACACATCATAGCCGTCCAGCCCATCGGCTGCCGAGGCGGTGCCACCCGCCAGACCCACCAGGGTCGGGTACCAGTCAGTGATGTGCACCAGTGCCCGGCTTGTCCATCGCTTTCGCTTGAGCAGGGGGCTGTGGATGAAGCCCAGGCCCCGCACGCCCCCTTCCCAGTAAGTGCCCTTGCGTCCTCGCAGCGGCCAGTTGCTGCCCCCCGAGAAGGTCTGGCCGCCATTGTCACTGGAGAAGATGATGACACTGTTGTCGTAGAAACCATAGCGCTTGAGGGCCCAGGTGATATTGCGCACGGCCTCATCCATGCAGGTCACCATGGCCGCATACTTCCGCCGGGCCACGTTGCCCATGGTGCGGTAGCGGTACAGGTACTCGCGAGGGGACTGCAGGGGTGTGTGGACCGCCTGGAAGGCCACATAGAGGAAGAGAGGCCGTCGGGGGCTGTGGCCGGCTAGGATGTGGCTGACGCGCTGGGCATAGAGCAGAGTGGAGTACTGGCCGCTGAGCTCCCAGGCCACATTCTCACCCTCGTGCAGGTCAAAGCCGCACACCCCCGGGCCGTCGCAGTTGTCATAGGTGTAGTAGTCCACATTGCCTGTGAGCGAGCCCAGGAAGGTGTCAAAGCCCCGGCGGGTGGGCAGGCACTCCTTCCGGTAGAAGCCCAGGTGCCACTTGCCCACCATGTGGGTAGAGTAACCCAGCTCCTGCAGCTTCTGGGGCAGTGTTACCTGGTCCAGGGGCAGGCAGTTGGGCTGCCGAGGGCGGATGATGGAATGCTGCAGTCCTGTGTGGATCTGGTATCTGGTGGGAAGAGGGGAGGACACAGAAGGCACCAGTGAGCCAGAAATCACTGCTCTGGCCACCCAACCCCCAACACTCACCCTGAGGTAGGCTCTGATCCAAGCGCTACCAGTAGGCAAAGTAACAGTAACCAGTAGGTGTTATCAAATGTGCCAAGCACTTCAAATGCATTATCTCATCGAATCCTCAAAATCAACTGAAGCAGGTATCATTGTCATCTTACAGATGAGGAGGAAAAAGCTCAGAATGTTTAAGCCACCCGTGCAGTATCACACAGCTAGGAAGTTGGGGAGTTAAGAGTTGAACCCAGGCTAATCATAACAACAACAATAATAAAAGCTGACACCAAGCACTTGCTGTATGCTCAGCATTGTGCTAATAAGCCCTTTATCGGAATTATCTCACTAAATCCTCACCGTAACCTAGGGGGTGCCTATCATTATTATTATTCCCGTCTCCCAAATAAGAAAACTGAGGCTCAGTAAATTAAGTCATTTGTCCAGTGATTCACACAGTTAGTAATTGGAGTTGGGATTTGAATCCCCAGCAGTCTGACTCCAGGTTTCAGAGTCCCTACACTCTAAGCCACTAACTTGCCATGGGGCCTAGAGCAAGTCTAGAGCAAGTCTCCCAAGAAAACTCCTATTCACTCTTAAACGCCCAGCCCAAATGCTACCCTCACTGTAAAGTTTCTCACAGTTTCTCACTCAAAGAATGAGTCACTTTTGCTTCCGGGTTCCCACAGCATTTAGTACAAATCTTCATTGGTCCAACTTGGCCATAGGATTCTACTCAGTCACTGTACATGCTCTTGGGCCCGATGATATTTAATGAGACTGTCCCTTACTTATCCTTGTATTCCTAGCATTCAGGTGATGTTTCAAGGACACTCAATTACGAAATGAATGAATGAAGAATGGCCCTCAAAGGATTTTACAGCCAGAAGGGACCCAAGTCATTTTCTAGTTTATTCACCTCAACTTAAAAAGAAACTAAGGTCCAGAGGAGGGGAAAGACCTTGTCCAAGGTCACTCAGTGGTCAGGAGCAGAGCCAGGACTTGAACATAAATCCAATCAGAGTCCAAGCACAGACCCTCTTCTGGCAAACTAGGCTGCCACTTCTCTTCCCCCACTGAGGCCTCAGTTTGTCATGTGTAGGAGTGAGTTGGTTGGAATGGGACACCTCTAAAAATCTTCCAGTTGCCAAATTTTATGAGACCAGTTCTCATGTGTCGGCCCACAAGTTTATGTGGCCCCTAGATCCAGGTCACTCACACAGGCTAACACCCTGAGGCAGGAGCAAATGGTTAGCAGAACTCTGCATTCCTCGTTTCTTCATTCATATCTCTTTCCTTCTGTGGTCAAGGCACCCATGTGATCTGCTTAGGGTGTCTTGCCTTTACTCAAGTCTTACAAGTCCCAAACTAAATAAGAAGCCTGGAACTTCACACGTGTATTAGAACCCCACACATTTTTCTCACTCCCAGGCATCAAAGTCAAGCCCAGACCTAAACTCCTGACAACTTTAAGCCAGGCATTGGGGTGGGTTTTTCTGTTTTGGTTTCCTTATCTTAAAGCTGTTTTGCTGGGCTTCCCTGGTGGCACAGTGGTTAAGAATCTGCCTGCCAACGCAGGGGACATGGGTTCAAGCTCTGGTCCAGGAAGATCCCACACGCCGCGGGGCAACGAAGCCCGTGCGCCACAACTACTGAGCCTGTGCTCTAGAGCCTGCGAGCCACAACTACTGAAGCCCCCGTGCCACAACTACTGAAGCTCCCGTGCCTAGAGCCTGTGCTCCGCAATAAGAGAAGCCACCGCAATGAGAAGCCCGCACACTGCAACGAAGAGAAGCCCTCGCTAGCCGCAACCATAGAGAGCCCGCGCGCAGCAACGAAGACCCAACGCAGCCAAATAATAAAATAAGTTAAAAAAAAAAAAAAAAAAAGAGTTGGAGCCTGTCGGCCCCGCTGCTTCGCTGCTGGGGTGAGTTGAATTGTGTCCCTCTCCAAAAGTGACCGCAAAAAAAAAAAAGCTGTTTTGGTTGTTAGCTATCATTAGCTACTACTGCCATTTATTTATTTATTTATTTATGGTTGTGTTGGGTCTTCGTTGCTGCACGTGGGCTTTCTCTAGTTATGGCGAGCAGGGGCTACTCTTCGTTGCAGTGCACGGGCTTCTCATTGCAGTGGCTTCTCTTGTTGCGGAGCACAGGCTCTAGGTGGGAGGGCCTCAGTAGTTGTGGCACACGGGCTCAGTAGTTGTGGCTCGCGGGCTCTAGAGCGCAGGCACAGTACTTGTGGCGCATGGGCTTAGTTGTGGAATCTTCCCAGACCAGGGCTCAAACCCGTGTCCCCTGCATCGGCAGGCGGATTCTTAACCACTGCGCCACCAGGGAAGTCCCACTACTGCCATTTTTAACACTATATGCTGCACACACTATTCCACTTACTTTGCATAAGAAACCTACAGTGAAGACTGCTATTAGCTCCATTCTACAGGTGACAAAACTGAGACTCCCAAAAGTGCAGCAACGGGCCCACAGCTGGCAAGCAGTGGAGCTGAGCCTTGAGCTCAGGTCTCTGAGACTCATGCTCAAAATCTCTCAGTGACGTGGCCTCTGCAGACCTCAGTCAAGCTAATGAATGATTAGATTTGATACAGGAAGTACCCTAGGCCCCTGAGTCACAGCGAGCCTCTCTTCATAGGGGCTGGGCACCATGGAACACTGGTTCATAAAGTGGGTGGGCCCGCTAAGTCACTGCAGCCTGTCTGCAAGTGAGTAATGCAGGAAACTGTCTCTCTCCGGCTTTACCAAACACAACTGGATGCACTAACAAACACTAATGAGAGTAGTCAGCATCAGTCAGATGGAGCCAGCTGCAGGGGGCGGAGGGCAGACGCTGCCCAGCCACGCTCAGCTAACTTTGCAGATTCGGTGGTGGGGGGAGTGCTGGGGGGGCTGGAACACTGCCCTGCATGCTGTTCATTCCCTTGCTTAAACCAAGTCATCTCTCAGAGAGAAATGCAAACATGTGCACAACCCTCAGGAATGCAGATTCCTCCTCCCTCTTCTGGAGGTTGGTCAACACTTGGTCTTTACCATCAGCCCCCATCCCTCAACACTTACACTGGTGTCCCTTCCTCTTTCCTGTTCTCTTTCCCAGTTCCTAGAGCTCAATGCTGAGCAGCAGACGGAAGAAAGAAAAGGCATCCCTTCTGACTCCCAGCTCCAGGGCCCCTCTAAAGCACCTGGCCTCTCAGTCCTCTCTCCTACAGACCCCGAAGTTTGGCACAGGCATCAGGTTTGGCCCTCCCTGATTCTGTGCCTCAGCTTCTCCCATCCAGGAAACAGGGAGACTTCGCCTCTGGTTTCTGAGATCACACTAGTGGCTTTTGGGTAGAACTTGGGAGAAAGCATGCCCCATCCAAGGATTAGCTTCAGCCATGCCAAAGGATTTTCTCCTAAGTGGCCAGCGTTTTGCCTTCTACACACACACACACACACGCGCGCGCGCGCGCGCGCCTCCTGTTTCCCTGCTCTTTTAATCCTGTAATCCTACCACCTTGCCTGTGCACAACTCCTTATGGAGAAAGCAGCACGTCTCCTTGGGGCCCCCAGCCAACTTGGGAAGATTTTGCAGATGAAAAAACAGAGGCTTTGAGAAATGAAGTGACTAGCCTAAGGCTACACAAGTCACTGCATCCTGTGTGTGTCTTTCTCCTCCACCTATCAACTCCTTGGCTTCCTCCCAATGTTGTCATCAAACAATTTGGCGACCCTAATCCCTCCAGTGGCATAGAGGCTGCCATTTATTGATAGTCAAGCAGGCTATATGCAACCGGTTTCATCCTCACCACTCCTTTTCAAGATCTAAAACTGTTCACCCCATTTTATGGACAAGAAAACTGAGGCTTGGAGGAGTTAAGTGATTTGCTCAGAGTCTCAGGGTGTGTAAAGAGAAGCAGCACTCAAAGCTAAGTGTCAGAGGCTGCCATGTCCCTCTAACAAAGAGATGACCAGATGTCTCCTTCACATGGTGTGGAGTTTGAATGTCCTGGAACATCAGAGGGAGAAGACCCCAAAGATGATCCAACCCATTCAGTGTACAGTAGGGAAACTGTGGCCCATAAAGGGCAAAGGGCTTACTAATGATCACAGCCAATTGGGGACAGAACTGGCTGTGAGCCCGAGCTTCCCAGTGGGGGTAATGTCGGTACAAGTGAAACCTACAGTTGGGTTTATTTGGGGCTTGAACCACCAACATCAGTGGGTTGGGCCATGCCTACCTGCCCGTGAGAAGTTGGCTCCGCGAAGGCGTGCAGATGGGCTGGATATAATAATTCTCCAACTTGACACCCTCGGCTGCCAGCCGGTCCAACGTAGGGGTTTCGATATCTGAGCCATGGTAGCCCACGTCGTGGTAGCCCTGGTCGTCGGTGAGGATGAAGATGATGTGGGGAGGCTGGCGTGGGGCGGGCTGCTCGCCGGCCTCCGCGGGCGCGTCAGCCACTAGGCTCGGCTTGGCCCAGTCCCAGGACAGGTAGCCGAAGCTGAGCAGGCTGACCAGAGAGAAGCCGGTGAGGGCGTGCATCGCCATGCCGGCCCGTGCGTCCCGGCGCGCAGGGCTCCCAGGGCCTCACCGCCTCGCGCGCCCAGGGCGCACGGCCCGCACGCCCTCCGGCCAGCCCGCCCGGACACCGCGAGAGCGCTCAGCGTCCCCAGGGGAGGCCCAGCGGCCAGTCCGCGACTGCCTGGACTATGAGGCCGGACCTGCGCGGCCGCAGCGGGGCGCTCTGGGGAGGTCAGGCCCGCGCCGAGCTGCCTCCCGCTGCCTGAGCGCCAGCTCTGCGCCGTCCGTGCTCCCTCTCCCCCAGTTCAGCCAGGCCAGCCTGAGACTTGGTGTGGCGGCTTCCAAAAAGTGCTCTCCACCATCCTCTGACTCCCCTCTTCCTTCTAGCCCTCGATTTCTCCCGTCTCCTAATTTCTCTCGCCTCTGCTTTCCCTTTCTCCTCCTCCCGACCCTCCAGCCCCTGGCCCAGCCTCTCGCCCCGCCCGGAGACCCGAGAACTGACGGCTCCGTAGGGTGGTGGGCAGGACCCCAGCGGGGAAGGGGGAGGAAGCACGGGCTGGGCGGGTCTGTGGGGGACACCGCGGGAGAGAAGGCGAAAAAGTTGTAACATCTGCCGGGGCCGAGCCCCAGGTAGAGGGGCGGGGCGTCCAGCGGCGGCCCCGCCCCCGGGCGGGAAGCCCGGGTCGGCCGGGCCCTCTGGCTCCAGCCTCCGCCCTGGCCCAGACTGGGGAAAGGAGGGAGGGGGCTGCGCGGAATTCTATGGAACAGCTCTGGAATGGCCCGGTCGGACATTCCTCGATCGTGGAGTCTTAGCTTCTCTGAGTGCCAGTCCTGGAAGGGAGGCGCATAATTTTCTGTGCCAAGCCGGTCATTCTACAGCTGGTGAAACTGAGGCCCTGAGGTGGCCGGGAACTCGTCTAAATCACGAGCAAGTTGGTGGCTTCTTCCCTGTTGGGGCTAACAGCGGCTGGCTGAGTGGCAGTAGAGACAGCAATGGAGAGCAGGGACGACTTTGGCAAGCACCGACTTTGGCAAGCACCAGAAATAGGTTCTGGCCTTGCCAGGGGGCTTACCTCTCTCCCCAGCCCCTCCCCCTCCTCGTTCTTCAATTGACAGCTTGAATCTTAGACTGGCAGCCCTAGAATCCCGAGGACAGAAGCTGTTGTGTACATCTCGTTCTCCACAGGCTCCAGAAGCTCGATCAGTACGTATTGCAGGGATGAATAGATGAATGGGCCTCAGAGGTCGCCCAGGCCAGCACCCACCCAAGGAAAAAATCTCCACAGCAGGGAAAGCAAGGTTGGGGAACTCCTGGGCCAGGCAAGTATCACAAATGAGTAAAGCAGAGAGGCCACTGTGTTGGCCGAGGAAGGCAGGGGCTGCATGGAGCAAAAGACCTCAGCCTTGTGTCCAGCTGACTGTTGTCATGCAAGAATGTGGACCAGTGTTTCCAGATCTTCTGATTTTCCGAGAACACCCAAATCCAGATTATTGTGAGAAATATTCCAATTGTTAAGAGCTAGTAACTAATTTAAAGTAAATTGAAGCCCTGTACAGGCCAAATCAAACCTATCAGGAATATTTTAGGCCATCGGGCGCCTGTTTGCAACTTCCACTCTGCATCATTGTTTTCCAGATTTTTAACGAGGCTGTATTTTTTAGTGGGAAAACTGAATTAAACAAAACTAGTTAGGCTTTTTTACTCCCGGAACTTCAATCTTTAATATGCTCATCTCCAAAAGTAGGGGTTGCTAAAACTGTATTTCCCAATTTTATGTGACTGAGGACCCTCTTTTTCACAGAGCTTCTCCAAGAGCCCGTGTTTTGGGAACTTTGAAACACAAAGACTGCCCAGGTGGGTCTTCTCTTCCAGCATCTTTCCCCTGCCAATATTCTGCCGTGTTCCCTTCCCTTTTCTATAAAACCACTGTGTGTGGGGAAAGAAACCAAACCTCCAAAATAGCAGCCCAAGTGAATCTGCATTTCGAAATGAGGGCTGCGTGGGGCTGGCCACTCCTGTTTGCTCAAAGCCCCATATTTAGGATGACCAGATTTATCAGAAGGGAGAACTGAGCCTGTTGTTCTGGCAGAAGAAATGTTGAGGATGGACAGGAAAAATACAGCCTCCGGAGGGGAATGTAGCTAAAATGGTGCTTCCGGAGGCTTCAGCCTGAGGCTGTCCAGGGTGTCAAAGTGGGACAGGTCACAGGAGGTCAGATGGACTTGGGTTTTGTATTCTTTGCATTGTCTGTCCCAGACCTTGGTCAGGGGGAACTGACCAAGTTCCTCCTGAGAAATGGCACAAGGAGAAACAGCAAGGGGGTTGGGGTGGGGATTCAGACTTGAAGAAATAGGTCCAGGGAGGCCAGCCCACGGGCTGTAGATCTCTGTGGAGCTGCCACAGGGACAAGACAAGCAGAATTTCTGAGAGTTCAAGACCGTGGGCTCTGACATCAGACTGCTTGAGTTCAAATCCTGGCATTTATTTGAGGTCAGGCCTTGGCCAAATTATCTTGCCTCCCTCAGCCTCAATTTCTTCATCTGTAAAATGGGGTGATAATATAAATGAGATACAACACAGTGCTCAGTAAATGCCCAGCACATAGTAAGCACTTGATGAATGTCAGTGGTTATGATGATTGTTCTCTGTGCTTCTGAGAGAAAAGACTGAGTCCTGTGGGTGAAAGTTAGTGGGAAACAGATTTCGGGCCAATTTAAGGGATTACTTGTGTAGGAAATCTGGCAGCTTGCTTAATAAAAGGATGGCAGTGATGGGTGAATCACCATGTGGAGAAGAGTGGGTGGACTCTTGTTCCCCAATATCCACATTTCTTTCAAGAGTCCCTCAGTAATCACTGAAACCCACAGTGGCTTCAGAGGGCTCCATCCCCCCCACCTCTAATGTTCCAGGGAAATAAACTCTGACCCTCAACTCTTCCTTTAATGCCATTACACAACTGGGCCAGGGTGCAACATTGAAGCCAGACATTTCCAAAGGCTTAGGGATGACAAAGGGGGAAATAAACACACAGAGTAATGTGAATCCAGGTCATGGCACTTTCAGAATGTGGCTCACTCATCTTCCCTTTGTGTTCTCTACCGTATGCCTACCTGTCCTCTTCCCTGAGACAATGTCCATCAGCCCTACCCCATCCAGGTAGATCTCAAGAACTCCAAGATGTCCTAAGTTCAGACCCAAGAAGTAAGGCTCAGAGAAACAGAAGTCCCTTCTCCAGCTAAACCAGCCTTTGCAGTTTCTATCTCAGGATCCAAGATGATTCCAAGATGATTGACAGCAG